AGCAGTACAGAACACCAGACAACTTACGTTTCCAAGAATTCGTCAGTAATAGATGCTACAAGCCTCTAGAACTTACTCTCTTCCTCCGTATGTATTTCTAGCACCTCTACTAGTCTTGTGTGCCATTGAAATTTTCAAAAATCAAGCAGCAGCAAAAATATCATTGATGCTAGACTGTCAAAAGAGTGACAAAACTCAAGTACTCAAGTATGGGGAGGCTGGAGGTGGACGAGAACGGGAGAGGGGAAATTCTAACCACAAATGCTGATCTTACACAAAATGCATAAGGTTGCTGTTTTACAAGTGATTTCTGAAAGGGTGACTACATCAAATCAATAAGGTCATACCTGAGCTAAGCAAGAGAACAGAGCTAAAAAATTCAGAGATGAGAGAAAGTAGGAAAAACCCATATTCTCCAAAATTTCTAGATGGTGACTGGTTGGTAAATGTATCTCATGCAAAACTCCTTGTCAGTCGCGGCAATCCTTCCCTGCAAGGCACTACTGAAGGTAAATAATTTACCCTAGAAAAAAGGATCAATTGCAGAGATGTTTCTTAGATATTTAGACAGAAAACATCAGTAAAAACCTGCACTGAAAAAAGGGCAATGCTACATCTCAAAGGTGATAAAAAGTATTTCCCCCCCAGTCCCCCCTCTACATCCAGCCTAACGCCGAGAGGAGTGCACGTTGAGGGTGGTAGGTGCATGAGGAGCTCTCCCTCCTCTACTGTGCAACCCCTGAGAACGGAAGCTGCCTGTGTGCTACTGAGAAGATGGAACTGAAATGGCTGGAGCAGAAAACCTGTAGAAACAGAGATGGGCAATATACATTTAGTACAGGAAGCTGCCTGATGCGAACGGGTTCCAACTACTTTGGTTTTAAGCTAGTTCCACAGATGTACTTGTTGACGTAGTTTTAAAGAATTCTCTCTAGGTACTTCACTTCTTCCACATGAAAAATACATTTTATGTTTGCTCAGAATATGTCCTTCTCAAAAAAGCACATGAACAGCTCCTGAAAACAGCGCATTTGAAACTGTGTGATCTTGCTTCTCTCCATGAAGGCTAAAAAGCAAAACTGTTTTTTAAAATTAAGTTATGCAAAGACATGCGTAACACTACAAAAATCTTGTATTACCATAAATGTATAACAACTGACCACCACTGAACTCTATCGAGCTAATAATTTTAAGAGCAAGGACTATGATAGAGGTTCCATTTCCCAACCCTGGCTGCAGTTAAGTGGATCTGAGAGGCACCTGCCCTGCCCTCCCTCCACTTTGAGGACCTGTGCATCCCTGGATGTGTTTAAAGAGCGGGTAGATGAGGTACTTAAGGATATGGTTTAGGGGGTAGACAGGAACGGTTGGACGTGATGATCTCAGAGGGCTTTTCCAACCGAGCGATTCTATGATTCTGTGTGTAACAGGAAAAAAATAGTGACTGCTGTCACATAAGAAATTTTGGAAGTTCTCAAAGAATATCCTAAATATTTGAAGATAAAGATTTGATTAGTCTGATTAATCTGATTTGTCACATTAAATTGATTCTGACAGTTCTAAGTATCTGAAGGTTAAACTGATATCTACTCCTGACAACAAGGAGTCTTCACAAATTATGCTCTTAAAGACTGTCAGCAGTTCACTGTCAATTTGATATGGTATTTTAAATGGAAACTATACCGCAAGACATTTTTAATTTGGGTGGACTTGGAGGAGGAGGTAAAAAGAGAATAAGAAATGGAGCCCTCAGCTTCCCTCCACTCCGATCAAGGAAAAATAACAACAGCGGTTACATCATTAAAGGGGACATAAAAAAACCAAACCCAAACACTTGCTTTTTAATAATTTGTCAGCATGTAGTTATGCTGCATAAATTATGCTGCTCTTCTCCACCTACATTTCTCAAGTTTGCTCTAAAATACAATTTTTATTTTAGAATAGTAGCACTGCCTGTACAATTGCCAACTAATCATGCTAAAATCTTTCTTAAAAGACCATGTACTGCATGGGCATATGTTTACACTTCCTACCTATTGAAATTCCACTAGAAAGGGTGGAGCTTTCTGCCTGTCCTCGGGATGGGACATGAGGCTCCATGACGCTGTCATCCAGTAGGTGCCTTGGTCCCGCGTTGGGAAATGTTGCGCTTTTAAACTCAGCTGTATTCATCTTGTGAATGAAACTAGAAATGAACAAGAATAGAAACTGTTAGGACATCATCCTTGATAGATTTCAGAAGCTGTTGCTTTAACATCCCGAGGACTGCAGGCAGTGTTTTGAATCCCAAACTAAATCACAGTTTCAGTCATGAGCAATCGTGCACAGGCTACATTATCTATAGGAATCGCTCTTGGAGCAAAGAATACTTTCAATATTCTAAGGTATTTTTGTCTTACTGTAACAATTGAACTTTAGAATTTCATTCCAGCTCAAACAAGGTAAACCTACACAGTATAAGTTCAGAGGTGAATTACTGAATAGCTACAATCTTGCATTTTTAAATTGATGATGCAATGATCAAGATATTAATTAGAAGCACACCTACAGAGAAAAAAAACCTGAAGCCTTTACTATACAGCAAACTCTTCTACAAAGGAGGTCTCATCATAAAAATACCAATCAAGTAATAAATTCAGTTTGGGTTTGTATTTGAAAGAATTACACTGGCACTGAGTTGCTGTGAGTGCTAAGTTCTGTCATTCAGGAAGAGCTGATTTTGGCTAACTCACTGGCTACTCTTACCATCATAACAGCCGCACAGTCTTCCTGTTTCAGCTAATTCTCTTTGGCTGGGACATTAGCACTATAGTTCTGAGCTTGCTCTCTTGCCACAAACTGCTCTCTAAGTGAAGTACTGTGTACAAATGATGCTGCTTTTTAAAAGCAAAGCTTTTCTGTTGAAAGATAATACATCACAAAGCTTGGGATTTTCAGGTTAAATAAAATGCTGACTTGTATCCCAGACTGTGACACTTCCGATGCCCATGTGGTATCAGGTTCCTAGGAGAGGGGGGTGTTGGTGGTAGCAGGGCTCCTTCAGCTGCAAGATTCTTGCGCCCACTTTGCGGGGATGCTCCGACTTCAGAGCCTGGGAACGAGAGAGGCATTACTCCTGAGTAACTTCAGAACTACTGTCAGGGTCACTTCTAAGAAAATTGTGGAAGAGTTGCACAAAACTTCCTACACTCAATTTGTAAGAGATGACCTATAGTTAAACTCATTTATATACTCATACTGTTAACTAAAAACCCTGTACTTTAGGGTTTTTTTTGCACAGGCTTAAAAATAAACACATTTATTTCAAATAGACCGTTTAGTTAAAAGTATTTTGTAAGTCCTAAATGCTGCTGCATTAGCCACACGGACATTAAACAGGTCCCATTGATTCTCTGTTTTGAAACTCCTACCTTCAACCACTTTTGGCATTGATCAAAAATAACGTACATTTTTGGAAGCATATTATACCATGAAAAGTGTAGATGAAGGCCTTTCTGTCTAGACACAACAAAGAATGAATATTCAATAGGTCTTCACCCCAAATGACACTACCAAGTCAGTGCCACAATACATAGAAGAACCTAAAAAACCCTGACTTCCTTGAATGAATTCTTTACAGATCACCTTTAGACGTTTTATTACAAATACACAGTGTTTATACTTCACACTTCTTTATTAGCCTCAGGCAAATATTTTCCACATTTGCAACTCAAAAATAATGCATTTGACAACCCGAAATCTTCTGACATTTATTAAGCATTTACCTACTAAATCTTCTCTGGAAGCAGCAGAGTGGGGTGTGCTGGTCCCTGGTTCTATCTTTAATGAAAGTCTGCATTAAACAAGCATAAAAATTACGTTATCAGGAGACAGAAGTATATAAAAGTACGTTTTTGAAATTAAAAAAAAAATACAACTGAAAGCTGCCTATTTCTATAATTGCAAGAAACGCTATGATATTAACCTCTACCACGTTAATTACAAACACTGCACAGCTCTCCTTTGCACACGCTATTTCCAGAACTTCTTTTAAATTATTTTCTTGGGTGGAAAAACCCTGCTACTGCAACACAGATCGGAGTTCAAAGAACTACATCCTAGAGCATAACGTGGTAAATGAGTCTACTCCTTTGGTTCATATTGACCAGAACAGATTGGCAACACCATGCTGAAGGAGGACAAGGCTCAGCAGCAAGCCCTTGACTCCAGCACAGCCCTGCAACCTCTTCTGGATCAAGGGGCCTGGCACAGCTGGCCACAAGCAGCCACCAGTTGTCATCCTCACGCTTCGTGACAGCAAAAGCTCAGTGTGAACTGTGAACCCGCTGTGGCAAAGTCCCACTGCGGACGGAGCAGGGGAAGAGGCCATCGCTCTGTGTTGGCACCACCCTCCAGGGAAAACACAGCCACACATAAGCCAGGACCTACACAGCCCTGGGACTGGCAGCGCATATAAAAAAATTCAGTGATGAGAGCACTGCTCTGGCATAAAAACTGGGAAGAATAAAAAGCATACAACTGCCCCCCACCTCAGCTAACACACTTACACTTACTGAGCTTCATATCTTAAATTTTTCTACAAAGTGCACTAGAGTGCACTCCTCTAAAAGCATAATCCTTCTTTACGTTTTGAAAAATACACGATCAACCTGATTGCATCCGTAATTCAAGTCTTTTCTACAACAGGCATTTTTTAAAGCTATTTCCAACAGTACCACAAAGAGGGCAGGCTCCAGGAGCAGAGAGCTCCAGGAAGATCAAACATCTCTTGTTCGCACAGCTTGCAGAACCAGAATCTTTGAAATTAGCTGGGTTGGAAACCCAGCCAATTAATTTTGGGGAGAAAAACTGTTGAAGTTTGGCAGCTCCTCTCCCTCCTATCTCCAGAGAGTTTAGCAATGATTCATTACAATTTTAATTAATTATTTTTAAAGAAAATAAAATCCTTTAGGAGGAAAAAACATGTATTCAAGTCACAATATCTGTTCTCTAACTTCAGCCTTTTTGCAGGCATCTTAGGGGATAACAAGTCCAACAGACACAGTAAGAATAGTTCTTCAAAAGACACTCCTCCCCTATAAAAATGCAGTTTGGAGACACACAAAACCCACAGCCGTGTTTCTGCATTACGTGCAATTGTCTCCATTCATTTCCCTGCTATCAAAACGTGGGTTGTGCAGGATGAAGAGACTGGAGCTCCTTCAGCAATAAAATTCCCACTAGTAGTGAGTCCTACCTGGGACAAAGTGAGGACGATGGAGTGCAGAATCCATGAAACAATATGCCACTATGAAGCAGACTGCAGTTAAGAAACTTGGGTTTGGTTTTAGGTGTTTGTGTTTTATTGGTTTGGTTTTTTTGTTTTGTTTTGTTGGTTGGTTGATTGGTTTGGTTTTTTAATCTTCAAGCTTTACTCTCAAGGATAAGCAAGCAATACTTTCCTAATCAGGCTACAGAACATTTCACCAGAAAGTTAGAGCTGGCTGCTTGCCTATGGACATGCAGAGAACAATTTACAAATCATGAAGACAGTAACATGTGAAGGGAAGCCATGGGTTTGAGTGCCCATTAACTGTTCGACATAAACCAATGGGTCCCCACTTGCTGCCTTTTAATAAATCCAAGTTAACACTAGTAAATGGTAGACCATATTTGTTCCTCTAGTGTGCATACCCCTCCCACCATTCGAGTGTAGCTACACAAGCAACCGACTCAACACAACTGAGGTGACAAACTTCTGAGGCGGGCAGGATGGGAATGGGTGAGGAACGTCCTCATGCAGATCAGCCACTGAACAAAAACTTTCTTCATATGCAACAGATCTGTTTTACATTTTCTCCTATCCTCAGAGCTTGTTCCTGTCTCTTGCCAGAGATTTCCATCCCCCAGTTTTGCTGGATGCCAAATCACTTAATAGAGTAATAATCTTTTATTAAGAAAGTAGAAATGTCTATGCAGTATACTTGGGGAAAGAATGGGTAGGGACAGAGAGGAACAGTTATCTTGCCTCTCACACTGTACAACCTATTTGAAGAGAAATACATAAAATAGCAGTGACGTATACATGAAAGTAAAAGCCTTAAGTCACCCAGTAAGTGACGTAAGGGACTTTGGACGTGGGACTTTGTTCTGAATGATGTCAGCTATCTCCAGTCACGGATCCATCTCGCTGACTGAACAGTTACATGTGAGCAAGAAGTAAGGAGTCTTCATTAGCAAACACTTGAAGAGGTCTGCAGATCAAATCAACAGAGCAAACAGCCCTGGAAGCTAGGGCTTGATGCGGTCAGGCATAGGAAGGGAAGGTGACATGCCACCCACCATGGCAAAATTGAGCACAGGACTCTGCTGTATCCTTGCTACTTGCAACTGGTGCATCTGAGATGCATAAATCCCCTGCCCGATACAAATGCAACCTTAGCAGTGAAAGGCTTTGTGTTATAAAAGTTATTCTGTAATGAGTTACAGCCAGTTATAGCATTTCATACTTACTTGTAATTGTCATCTTCTACAAACTTTTGTAGTTCTTCTATGTACTGCACCGAATTTAGATATTTTTGGACATGAGGCAACAGAGGAATATCTGGAGAACAAATGACCTTCGTTACCACTGGACCATTCACTGGTAAGCAAAGCTATATTGCAGAAATTATTTCAACAGAACCAGATCTCTTGCCTTTCTACGTGAAATGGAGGTATAAACTACATTCCCTATTGATGCTGAAATTTTTGTCCTTCATAGCAATTCTCATGTGCTAGGAATTCCCCATGTCCACAAAGCCAGGTGAGTATCTCCTATTGCTGCTCTACTTAGAGCACGTACCAGGGAAAAGCGAGAGCATGCCCCTGGTCACGCTGATGTCCCAGACCTGCAGAGTTGTATCTGAGACCTCTTCACAGCCTACATTCTTACTATATCGAGCTTTTAGTGAAGCCACAATCCTCTGCTAATTCACATTCCACCATTGCAACCACAGCCTTATGACTTTACTAGAACTTGAAGAGGACTACGAAGGAGGCCACTTTTGAAGAAAAAATACATTATCTATCTATGAAGAGAACTGTAAATGTCCAAAAGACAAACTGAATGCATTTTATTAGCTCTAATAAAAGTACTACTCCAAAAGCAATCCTACTGTTTTTAGGATTCATCATCGTAACATTATGACACACGAGGATACAAGTTTACAATGTCCTAATAAAGGTACTGTTAAACACAATGTATTTCCCATATTTCATCAGAAAACACGCACTGCAAAAACGCATGGGATGTAAGAAAAGGAAGATTTTATCCTGTCACTAACACACTGTCACAACCAACAATACCAGAATAAACCTAAGACTTCTGGGCTGAGAGAGTGAGGGAAAGCATTAATAGCATTCAAATGGGTCAGGCCTCACTTACATTGCATTACAGAAGATAAATGTGAAAGCTTTTAAAGTTGTTCTCTTTAACACTGCAATATTGACACACTAGCTTACCGTATTCACAGGACTGCTGTAAATCTGAGATAATTCGAAGAATGTTGTTCATTAAGTTTGTTCTTTGTTCACTTTCCAGAATGCTCCCTGTTGATGGGTAGGCAGAGTCAATATACGTCAAGTCTGACAGATAAATACCTGAATAAGATTAAAAGAAAAATTTTATTTATTTAGTGTCTCCCATGTAGCAGAAAAAAACCCCTCACAAACAGTATTTCAAAGGACTTTTGCTTCCACTGACTAATGTACACGCAGGTTGACAACAGAGTATTATTTTGCATTTACCTGAGAAATCGTTTGGACAAGATCTCCAGAGCCTTCAGACCTCAGAGTAAACCAGTAAAAACGGTTGGACTTACAGCACCACCGTGCCACCCTTGTCTGGGACTGAATCTGCTCTCTCCTCAATGACTCAACCCTTAGTTAGCAGAGACATTCCTCTTCCCCTGCTTCAAACTAGGCATGTACTAGCTGACCTTGGCTCTAGCAGTGCCATTATTACTAACTCTAATTACAAGAACATGCGCAACTACTCGTGAACCTCATCTTCTGCCGTAGCACCAACAACCCGGTGCAGCGCTCCAGGCTTG